GAAGCTGGAGGGATTGGCAGGGCCAAACGTGGAGGGTTTTGAAAGCCACGCAGAGGAGGTGTGACCCATGTTCCTGTGTTCAGGTTGTGGATAGTTCTAGTGCCAGATTTAGTGCTAGTGATCCCAGAGGCTACTCAGAGACTGCGTGGTTCTCTGGCCTGGGCCCACATTTCCTGCCTGTGTAGGGAAATTGCCAGGGGAGGGGGAGGGTCTGGTGGGGGGGATGGGAAGGTCTGGCTCAGGGCAAGCGGCCGCCTCCGGGCATACCCACCGGGCATTTGGAGGCTCAGAGAGGAGGCAGTGACTGCAAAGTGCAGTGAGGGGAGGGGCTATGGGAACCGGAACTGACCTCTGCTCCAGAATGTCCCCTCCCATCAGGTGGTCCCAGGACAAGCCAGGTTCAGAGAGTTCAGTGACTTGTCTAAGGACACGCAGCTGTGCGGAGGGGGGTTGGATGGAGTCTGGACTGGAGCCCACATGCTTGGGATTCTGCTGGGATTTCTGCCTCCGCCTCTTACAGGGGACTTAGGGGTGTCTTCAGGCCTCAGTTTGCCCAGCTGTCCATAGCATATCTCCCAAGGGTCCCGCTACACCCCCAATACAACTGTGAATTAAAAGGGCGGTCATATTCGGGGAAGAAATGAAACCTTTGGATGACATCGCGATTCCAGCAAGTCTGGCCCTGGAGGCGCACGGTGGGGGCCCGGCAGGTGTGGACGGTTTCCTTCACAGCTGTGGCTGCAGCGCTCTCTGGTGGCCATTTTGCACACCAGGAAAATTTCGACGTCAGATAAACCACAACTTCACCGCGGGGAGGGAAGCGCTCTTTCCTTCGACAGGTGGCCCCCTCCACTCTTTTGTTGCCCAGAGAAGGAAAGACACAAGCTCAGGGCCATACAGGTAGAATCCAGGTCTTCGGACTTCTAGCCCTTCCAGGTTCTTTCTTTTGCAAAGCTCAGCCCGACACCCCTTGCGGCTGGAGGGAGGCCAGGGAGCAGTCTGGACTGTGGAGCCTGCCCTCGCCCGACCACCCTGGGAGAGGGGAAGGGCTTGGTGAGAGTATAGGGAGGTCTGGGAGAGGGGGAGGGCTTGGCGGGGGGATGGGAAGGCCTGGCTTTGGGCAATCTGGCCCCTCTTTGTTTTCCACCCTTAGCAGGAACGGTGAGCCTGGGGAGGCGGGAAGAGGAAGGCGCCCTCCGGGTGGCGGGGTGGCGATTCCTCGCGCGACCTCCAGGGGGCGCTGTGGCACTGAGTTGGCGGGGCCCTGGGCGCCTCTGGCCCCGCGGAGTTTCGCAGACCGAGGACAAAGGGGGTGACCA